AGAAGGAGTCTAGTCTGTGAAAGAAGCTTATTTGAATATCTCTGAGGGTGAGATTTACCTGTATTCAGTTTCTTAAATGTATTAAGCTTAGACTTGTGTGTTTTGTTTTATTTTGCTTGGTAACTTACTTTGTTCTGTCTGTTATTACTTGAAACCACTTAAATCCTACTTTTAATTCTTAATAAAATCACTTTTGTTTATTATTGAACTCAGAGTAAGTGATTAATACCTGGGGGAGCAAACAGCTGTGCATATCTCTCTATCAGTGTTATAGAGGGTGGATAATTTATGAGTTTACCCTGTATAAGCTTTATACAGAGTAAAACGGACTTATTTGGGGTTTGGATCCCCAAATAAGGGGGCTGGGTTTCTGGGTGCTGGAGACAGGAGTACCTGCTGTGTGGTTTTCAGTTAAAGCCTGCAGCTTTTGGTATGTGGTTCAGACCCTGGGTCTGTGTTGCAGCAGGCTAGCATGTCTGGCTCAACAAGACAGGGTTCTGGAGTCCCAAGCTGGGAGGGAAAACGGGCTTAGAGGTAATTCCAGCACGTCAGGTGACAGTCCCAAGGGGTCTCTGTGACCGAACCTATCACAGTGATGTCTGTAGATGGAGGTGGAAGAGAGAGGAAGAGCATGGCAAATGTCTCTCCCTTTTATCATGTTCTTTCTTCCCTCTTGGCTTTACACCATTCTTAGGAGTCAGGTGAGAATTACCTCATCGTAGTCCCAAACTGACCAAAGGAAGGGGGGTGACTCATTCGAGAATCCAACAGATCCTTTGTTGCTGCCTAGGCCAGCAACCTGTGTTCCTGTGAGGCTGGGCTGGGTTTGTCCCATACATGCCCTGATGAGGTGTGAACTGCCCCTCTGTTCCTGGAGAGTTTTGCCTGGGCCTGTTTTAAGCCACAAAGATACATTTTCAGCCTCATAATTATATACATGAAATTACAACCTATAACATCACTATTACAACAATGCTCAGTGCATCATGAGCCTTCTGAAGACACCTGACATGACAAACTTTGCATTGGATACCACACAATCATATTATAAGGATGACCATGGGGGTGTAAGGTGTTCCTACGAGGTACAGAACATCACAATGGTTGTCACATTCAGTGGGTTTGGGAAGTGCCCAGATACTAGCTTCCCAAAGACAATAACCAGGGGGATAGCCAAAGCCCGGGAGGGCAGATATGAAAAAAACATCAACAGCCATTGTTCAGCAGGGAGCTACAATACAATGACTCACTTGAACAAGGCCACACCAGGGGAAGTGCTCATCCTTGCCTGGTGACTCAGCAATGCCCACCAGACATGCCTGGACTTGTGTTCTCCAAGCACATGGACTAAGGGTATAAAACAGAACATAGTGGTCCCATGCTTTGTCCTTTCTCTTCTCCTCCACCTACACTTAAGGCAACGAGAATGCTGGAGTTGAAGAGACTGGTTCCTGGACTAAGAGGGAAAAGCCTGTGTATAAAAGACTGTAACCAACCTGCAATATCCAGTGGGGTGAGAAAAACTGCTTAATCTAGATGTTGCCCAGTCCAATAGGGTTGAGAGTTTAGACTGCATGCTCATATTTTATTTTATTTTGGTAACTATGCTAACTTTTTGCCTATCACTTATGATCACTTAAAATCCATCTTTTGTAATCAATAAACTTATTCTAATGTTTGTCCTTACCAGGGAGTTTGCCTGAAGTGGTTGGTAAATCTGCTCCGGTTACAAAGGCTGGTATATATCCACTTTCCACTGATGAAGTGGTGAACCAATTAATAAATTTGCATTGCTCAAGGAAAGGTCTTGAGCAGTGCAAGACAGGATATTCCCGAGGTACAAGGCTGGGAATTGAGGGAATCTGGCTGGTGCCTTTGTCTATGTGATTTGTGAGTGGCTCTGGGAGCATTCCATGCAATCTAGCTGGCTGTGGGGCTGCACGTGCTGTTGTGCTGAGTGATAACAGCGCCTGGAGGGGTTTGCTGCTTGTCACCAGTAAAGCATTGTGAGGGACAACCCAGATTTGTGAGTGAAGGGAACACAGAGGTCCCACAGTTCCAGGGTGCACCCCGGGGATCCCATCACAAGCAGTTTCCCTAAGTTTGTCCCAGTGGCTTGCCTGTCTGCCTGGCTTTGGCTGGAGTCCCGGGGCGCCGCATTTCCAACGGCTGCCAATGGCACTGGGTTCCCAGCAGGGTCAGGGACGGCCTGCCCTGAGCGGGTGGATTAATGCTCCCAGCTCTGGTTTTCTGGTGGGGCAGAGCAGCTGGATCCAGATGCTGGGGCGGCTGGCTAGGGCCAGGAGGAGCCCCAGAGAGCAGAGAACACGTGGGGTGCAGGTTGCAGACACAGGGCAGGGTTTAGCAGGTCGTTTTAGCTGTGGATCCGTATGGATCCCTGACAACCCCTCAGTGGTCTCTGCTCCACCAGGAGAATGAGCAGCCAGACCCGGAAAATCTGCCCCTGCTCACCCGAGGGGCAGTGCGGGGTAATTTGATGCTTGGAAAATAATCCCTGGCTGAGATCTCCAAAGCACCTTGGCCATTTGGACGTATGATTCCCATTCAGATAACTGGGAACTGGGTGTCCAGCCCCCCTGCAGCTCAGGAACCTCCAGCCCTGCCTGGAATGAGAACACAGTTGTATTGTAATGGGACAGGGAAGCAGCACCTAGGAGTGGGCCAAACCCCCACCTATGAGCCCAGGAGCTGGGTGGGGGCAGGCAGAATCCAGGCTCTTTGTAGGTCGCCAGACAGAAAGCTCCATTAAGGTGAAGTTCAAGGTGAGGGGAGGTGCCTGTCCGTGCGGGGTAAGAAATATCCCATGGCTGGTGCCAGGATCCCCATAGCATGTGTTGCAAACCCCAGAGACTCCCTGTCACTGTGACACTGAAAAGAAATATTTCAGGTTTCAGAGTAGCAGCCGTGTTTGTCTGTATCCGCAAAAAGAAAAGGAGGACTTGTAGACTTTGTTAGTCTCTAAGGTGCCACAAGTACTGCTTTTCTTTTTGAAAAGAAATACAAACCCATTCAGCCAGGAAATGCAGAGCATGGCCCCCAAATGCCCTTGACTCTGCCCGGGGCCAGCACAGGATCTTACGATTTAGACAGAGGTGCCCATCTCCCACTTCCAGTTCTGATGTTCCATGTTCAGGCTCCCCTGGCATTCTCCAAACCCCACTCAGCTGCTGCTGAGCCCTGTGAGCTCCCTGTCAGGTCCCTACAGCACCTCCATTTCTGCCCCAGGCCCTGCACCTCCGGCGGGTGCCCAGGCTCTCAGCCCCACGTCCGGCCCGAGGGGGAGGCTCCAAGCAGCTGTTGCGATGCCGGATCCAGTGGTTCTGCTCTGATCTCCAGCTATCTCCTTATGGCTCGTATTCCAAGGCTTCGAGCGCTCACCCTGGTTCAGCTCCCTGCCCTGCCAGCTGGGGAGACAGGCCGGGAGTGTGGGCCTCTCACCTGGCTGCAGCACCCGCACCCAGAGCTCCGGGTTAACCCGGCGGAGGCTCCAACTGGAGCTGTTTCACTCTGGAACAATAATTCACTCGTCAGGGGACGGGTTCTTGCTCTCCTGCCACTGGGGAGCTCTGGGGCACCAGGCTCCAGTGTCACTGACTCACTTTCTGGCCCAACGGCTCCTCTTAGCCATTCCCTATGGCAGCTCCCGGGGACACCCGCAGCTCATTCCACCACTGCTTTCCCCTGAGCCTTTCTGGCTCCCCACTCTGGATTTGCCAGCTCAGACTCCCTCCTCCCAGGCAGGTAGTAACCACAGACTCCACTCCATAGCTCCAGACACGCCTCCCTTGGCCCTGGGAGTGATTGCAGCTCCTGGGCTTTCCACAGGCCCCTGCTGTTCCCGGCCAGCTGAGCTGTGAGAGTGGGGAGTTGACCCGAGTGTGAACAACACTGCCTGAGATTGCAGAGAGCCTGAGCCCATTGCTCCAAGAGGCGGGTCATGAGTTCCAAAGAGATGGTAAGTCTTACTGGGGGTTGGGAAGGGAGCATTTGCCAATGAGTCTGAAATGAAATGTGTCAGAAATAGCAACAAACAAATAAATAAACAATACAAATCCATTTTATTCCTTAGGGTTTTGTTTCACGTTGTGTCTGACAAATGACAGCTGAGGGATAATGAGGCCAGGGCGGCCTGGGGATCGACACTGTGATTTTTAGTGTCAGCAAACAGATTTCTGAGGGGAAACTGGGTGCATTTGCTGCCCATCCAGGGCTGGGATTTGGGGTCCCCTGGGTGTGCGTGTCTGGCAGGTCGGACCCTCCTTGGGGAAGGCAGCATGGCTGGGATGGACAGCGGGCATGCCAGTGAAATAGCCCCCAGAGGGCAGCAAAGGGTCAGGAAGGCGCAGTTTGGAGACACCCCCAGCCCCAATTCAGTGTGTGTGTGTGTGGGCAGTTTGCAGACATGCCCTAGCACAGTGGTTCTCAACCAGGGGTACAACTGCCCCTGGGGTTACACAGGGGTCTTCCAGGGGTACCTCAGCTCCTCTAGAGATTTGCCCAATTTTACAACAGGTGACATAAAAAGCACGAGCGCAGTCCCTACAAACGGACATTTCATGCAGCCAATGCCTTGTTTATTCTGCTCTATACACTGGACACTGAAATGTCGGTGTGAGATTTATATTCCAGTCGATTTATTTTCTGATTGTCTGGTAAAAGGGAACAGGTCGGCCACTGGGGAGTCACAGGGTTTTGGGGCACGTTTGCATTTTTATGTCTGATTTTGCAAGCAAGTGGTTTTTAAGTGAGGTGAAATTTGGGGGTACGCCAGACACACCAGACTCCTGAAAGGGGGTACAGTCGCTATCTGGAAAGGCTGAGCGCCACTGCACCGGCGCAAGGGGGGCTGTGTGGCGTGAAGGGTTTGCAGACGGTCCCTGGCTCCCAGTGGGTGGGAGGAACTTTGCGGACGTCCCCTGGTTTGCAGTACTGAGGGCGGGGAGTTTGCAGACGCGCCCCGGCGGGGGGCGGAGCTAGTTTCCCTTCCAGCTGACTCAGGGCTTCGCTGTCCGGTGACCGAGGGGGAAAGTACCGCTGCTGCAGATCGGGCCCGTGGGATCAGGCTCCCCAGAGCACCCCCTCCTGGGGTCCATGGCCCGCCCTGGTCCTGCCTCCTGGGTTCATGGTCCCCTCCATCCTCTCTGGGTCCAGGGGCCCCTTCCATCTTCTCTGGGTCCTGACCCCCTCCCTTGTCCAGGGGTCCCCCCTGATCCCCAGACCCCGATCTGGGCCCATCCCCCTCATATGGGGCTTTGCCCCTGCAGCGTCTTCCCTCCCTGGGTGTGGGGGCCCTGTGTGCTGGGGCAGTTTGGGGGGGTTGGAGGGAGGTGACCCCTAAACCTTCCTGGTTCCAACTCACCCTCCCACCTTTCTGTTCCTTTTTGTACTTCTCCCTGCATGGATCTCCCGGCGCCCATCCCAGTGGCACCTGTCCTGCTCCCCATGACTCCTGGGGGCTGTTGGGGGGCTGTTCCCCACTCAGACCTCACCCCCCCGTACAGCAACTCGGGCGCTCTGCCAGAAGCAGCTGCAGCAGCCAGAGCTGCAGCCGGTGGCTTGCTGTAGCTTTCACGCCGACTCCCTTTCTCCGGTCTGGGAACTAGGCGTCAGAGTTAAATCCCAGCGACAAACAACCAGCCCTGCTTCCCCGGCAGAGCCTTTCCCGGGGCTTCCGCCATTTCCCGGTCTGTGGTGCTTACCCCGGAGCGGGCGAAGAGGTGCCTGGCTCCCGGCTGTGAATACCTGCTCCGTTGGGACACGGCAGCAGTGCAGGCCCTGCTGTGGCACCGGCCCGGGGCTAGCGGTGGCAGGCAGATGAGGTCACACTGGAGGGAAGGCGCACTAGCCATTGGCACGGCTCACCTGGGGCTGTGGTGGATCCTCTGTGGCGGCCAGTGTTTGATGTGGGACGGACAGGGCTGGGCCTCATTTTCCCCAGGAGTTTGTTCCAGGCCCTGCGGGTTACCCAGGTGATCCCAATGTTCCCGTCTGTCCTTGGAGCTGGGAAGTCTCCAGCTGGCCCAGCGGCGGTGAGACAATATGGGGCCCCAAGAACGGGGTCTGGAGCAGTGTTCCCTCTAATTTTTTACGTGCATGCATGGAATGAATTTTGTTATGTGCAGCAATATGGAGGTGACGTGTGGTGGGGGTGGGGCCCAGGAATTTGGAGTGGGGGAGGGGGGTCAGGGCTGGGGTAGAGGGCTGGGGTGTGCGCTCTGGCTGGGGGTGTAGGCTCTGGGGTGGGGCCGGGGATGAGGAATTTGGGTGAGGGAGGAGGCGCAGGGCTGGGGCAGAGGGTTGGGTATGGGATGGGGTGAGGGCTCTGGCTAGGGGTGTGGGCTCCAGGGTGGGGCTGAGGATGAGGGGCTTGGGGTGCAGACTGCCCCGGGGAGAGAGGACTCCCCCTAGCCCTCTCTCCCCGCAGCAGCTCGGGACCGGGCCAGGGGAGAGGCGCCTCTCCGCTGCAGCTCCGGCAGGGTGGGGCTGGGCTGCAGGAGGGGTGCTTCTCCCCACCTTCGCGGCCCTCGGTAGCCAGCTGCACAGCCATGCAGCTTAGAGGAAATTTAGGTCTGGAGCCCCTCTTGGTCATGGCAGCTCTGGCATGCCTCCCCCCCCAGCATCCTCAGATCCCTGCTCCTCAAGGGGGACTCCCCGTGTGCTCAGAGCTGGGTTCCTGCTGCTGGAGATCCCAGCCCGCTGCTGGCCTTTCACCCCGCCAGGCCCAGGCGGTCCGGCTCTGGGGCAGGGAGCAAGAGCCCCCAGCTGTGGCCAGGGCTGGACTTCGCAGCCTCAGGCCGGGGGGTTCATGGCGGCCACTCCAGTCCCGGGTGAAGGTAAATAGCAGCGCCCCCCCTCCCCCCTCAGCTTGGAACAGCTGCTCTGTAAACCCCTTCTGATCTTTGCAGGGCAATACCCTACCCAGTGACCCACTCGGGTTCCCTGCAGCCCGGCACTGCTCCAGCCCCCCCCCAAGGGCTGGGGATAGAACCCAGAAGTCCTGCTTCCATGCCCCCTCTACCCCAGCTTAACCCACTAGTACCCACTCCCCGCCCAGAGCCAGGGATAGAACCCAGGAGTCCTGACTCCTAGCCTCTCCCTACTCTAACCACTAGCCCCTCCCCTGTGCTCTGACCGAACCCCCACCCCTCCTTCCGTCTGTCTGTCTGTCCATACATCCCTATACACTGCCCTCTACACTTCTCCACCCACCCCCATTGCTGGCTGGAACTGTGTGTGGGGAGGGGGGCCCTGGGAGGAGCCATCACTGTGATCTCTGAGCTAGGCCCTGTGAGCCTGTGGGACTCCCTGCCACAGGATTTGGCTGAGCAGGGGGGTGGGGTTGGGGTCTCAGAGCCATTGCTGTGGGGTGGGGGTACCCCGTGCCTGTCAGTTTTCCTAGGAATCCTGTATCTCACCCCGCTTCCCCTGCACAGATCCCCCGACCCCGGAGCCAAGATGACTCAGTGCGGCCTCCTGACCGGCTCCAACAAGCCGGGTAATTCAGGACTGGGGGGCGGGGGTGGGGCTGCGAGGGGGAGGGCAGCCCCATGGCTGACCCGGCCCCTCCCCTGGTGCCCATGGGGTATGTGGGCGACTCGTAGATGACACCCCTCTCCCCTGGCACCCATGTGGGGGTCCCTGGCTGACATCCCCCTCCTCCAGTGCCCATGGGGGTCTGTGGGGTCCCGTAGCTGACCCGCTGTCCCCCCAGCGCCCATGGCGGGACCCCGGCTGATGACCCTGTTCCCCCCAGTGCCTCTGCGCAGCGGCTCGGTGATGGTGCTGATCCGAGGCTTCGTGGCTGACGTGGGCTGCGAGCTGCCCTACAGGAATGAAGAGCCAGGGCCCGTGGAGGCCGTGTTCGTATTCCCCGTGGACACTGAGGCGGCCGTCTACGCCTTCCAGGCCCGCCTGGCGGAAGCCTGTATCCGTGGAAAAAAAACAGGTACCAGGGGGCAAGTGTCCCGGGGGGGGGGGAGAGGGCGCTCGTGGGGGGAACTGGGGGGGGGGATCTTGGGATGCCCCATCTCTCCAGCGGGCGCAGGGGCTGTACGGGAATGTGCTGGCTGGGGGATGTCGGGGTAACCACGTCTCTCCCTGCAGGAGCTGTATGGGGTGCTAGGGCTGATGGGGGTGGATTCTCAGAGCGCTGCTGGGGGAATCGGGGCAAGCGAGGGTTGGGGGACAGGACTGGGGGGTCTCGGCGGAGCTGGAGGTGAGAGGGTGGGGTGTCAACAGGCGGACACTGGGGCTCACTGCAGGTTTGGGAGGGCAGGGGCTGGGGGTGAGGGCAGGGGCTGGGGGCGAGGGATCTAAGGGAAGGGCGGGGGGAGAGACAGAAGAGTGGGGGAGGGGCTCTGGGGAAGTCGGGGTCACGGGGTGGCTGGGGAGGGTGGGGGATCTGGGGGGAGGGCGGTGTGGGGGGAAGGGACAGAGCAGTGGGGTGGGGCTCTGGGGCAGTCAGGGGGCGCTGAGTGGCTAGGGACTGTGGGGGACCTAGGAGGAAGGAAGTGCGGAGGGAGGGACAGGGCTGGGGCTCTGGGGGGCGCTGGGGGTGGTGGGGGATCTACGGGGAGGGCAGTGTAGGGGAGGGATGGGGTGGGGCTCTGGGGCTGTTGGGTGGTGCTGAGGGGCTGCGGATGGTGGGGGATCTGTGGGGAGGGTGGAGTGGGGAGAGGGACGGGGTGGGGCTGGGACTCTGGGGCAGTTGGGGGTTACTGGAGGGGCTGGGGGCACTGGGGGATCTAAAGGGAGGGCAGTGTGCGGGAGGGACATGGATGGGGCTCTGGGGCAGTCGGGGGACTGGGGGCTCTCGCAGGCTCACAGGGCTCAACCCCATATCTGCCCCTTTTGGGGCTGGCCCCATCTCCCCGCAGGCTCCCTGATGGGCGACCCGGCTGTGATGGTGACCCTGCTGCCCAGCCTGCCTGAGGCGGTGCCGGGCCAGAGCCCAGCCAGGGAGTTCATCTTCCTGCTGGACCGCTCCGGCAGCATGGAGTGCCCCAGGGACGGCCGAGACCACTCCCCCCAGCGCATCGACAGCGCCAAGGTACGGCCAGGTGGGAGGCCGCGCTCGATGAGCCCTGTCATGAATATAAAGGGAAGGGTAGCCACCTTTCTGTAGACAGTGCTATAAAATCGCTCCTGGCCAGAGGCAAAGTCCTTTCACCTGTAAAGGGTTAAGAAGCTAAGGTAACCTCCTTGGCACCTGACCAAAATGACCAATGAGGAGACAAGATTCTTTCAAATCACCCCTCTTGTGAGACTCCCTAAATCCAGGGCAGAACAACAGGATCTTCTTCCCCCTGGATCCCCTCCTTGTCCCAGGCCAACTCCCTGTCTCTTTAAGGAGCAGCTGCTGATATCCCGCCTCCCCACAGCCCATGGCTGCTCAGCCTTCCTGGCTTTGTCTGCTGTGCCCACTCCTCGCACAGCTGGGCTCCATCTGCCAGCAGGGCCCCGTCAAGCCCTGGGTTCCCTCCAGGGCAGCATCTAAAGGTAGTTGGCCCCTCCCAGCCCACATTAACTCCCTCAGGGCTTGTGCAGGGGGGACATCCCATCACACCCCCCCTGTGCAGTTTTCATTGGTTGGGGCAAAAAACCAAACTGACTTCCAGCCTGAGCATTAAGTGTCTGGAGAGGCTGGGATGATGGGTCTGCCTACAATGGCATGTCGCCGATCTGTGACTGCTAGCAGCAAATATCTCCCACCGGCCGGTGACGGGGCACTAGCTGGGGAGGGCTCTGAGTTACTACCGAGATTCTCTCGTGGGGTCTGGCTAGTGGATCTCGCCCACATACTCAGGGTCTACCTGATCGCCATATTTGGGGTTGGGAAGGAATTTTCCTCTGGGTCAGATTTGCAGAGACCCTGGGTTGTTTTCTGCTTTCTCTGCAGCATGGGGCATGGGTCACATGCCAGTTTGAACTAGGGTAAATGGTGGATTCTCTATAATCTGAAGTATTTAAATTGTGAGCTGAGGATGTCAGTAACTCAGCCAGAGGTTTGGGAGTGAGTGGGCGAGGGTCTGTGACCTGCGATGTGCAGGTCAGACTAGACAGTCACGCTGGTCCCTTCTGGCCTTAAAGTCTATGAGTCTAAGTGACCTCATTGTTCTCTGATTGAGGGGGGAAACTGAGGCAGCCCACAGCAGAGCCACACTCAGCTGCAATGGGGTGCTCAAGGAGGCGATGGTGCCCTTCTATACACCCTGGATCAATTGCATTTGAAACCCATTAATTTCACTAACGCTTTGGTTAGGTCAAAAATAATCATTCATAAAAACGCCCCAGAAAGCCTGCTTCAGTCTGTGCTTGTTAAAACCATCCCTGTTAAGAGCAGGTTAGACACGCCTGGCAGGGGTGGTCTAGAGAATACTTAGTCCTGCCTGAGTGCAGGGGACTGGACTAGATACCTCTTGAGGTCCCTTCCAGTCCGACACTTCTATGCTTCTATTAGCCAAGCACCTTCTAAAAAGAACTCTCTCCAGTTAGCCTTGCAGCATCTGTGGCCATACAGAGACCTACAGGAGGAGACACACTGGTCATTAGAGCGTCACATGCCCGAATGAGCACTCCAGGAGGGGTTCAGCCCAGCTCGGAGCTGGGCCCTGCCTGGAGAGCTCTCCAGGGCTTACAGGCCAGCAGCAGACATCAAGATAAGTGGTCCCTCCGAGGGCAATTAGCCTGGCGACGCTGCTGGGAAATGCAGGGCTCAGGGGTGGTCTCGTGGGGGCTGATTAGAAGAGAAAGTCAGAGGCACTAATCAAAGTTAGACAGGGGATAGGACAGGTCTGTTCCTACAGCAAACAGCCCCGATGGGTAAAGTGACGGGGTCAAGCTGCTCGCTCCCAGGGCCTGGGACAGGTGATGGGGCCTTCGTACATTCCAGCAGGCTCCCAGGGAGCAGGGGAACCTTAGCAGCGGGGAATGCAGTGAAACAGACAGATGAACAAGGCTCACTTTCCCATGCAGGTAGCAAAGGCAGCATGGCCCAGTGAGCAAAAGGCAATTCTGGGTTTCGAGGCCTCAGTGATTGATGGGCACTGCTGTCCTGCCCACTGCCCACAGTCCCCAGCTCTGCCCAGGTCCTCGGTCCTAAACCACAGTCCCCTTCTCTTCCACCCCAGGGCTCACACATGCACACAGCTAGGCTGGTGCCCCTCAATCCTGACCTAAGCTCCCTGTAAGCTACACAGCCATGCAGAAGCCTATTTAGCGCCACACGGGGGCTCAGGGAACCCGCCCCACCTAGCCTGGTCCCCAACCTGCTGCGGGAGGGGCACCACTCCCCCGGCCACAACTCAGCCTGTGGCCCGGACCTGTTGCGGCCGGGGCGGCGCAGCCCAGACCCAGGTGCGGCTCTCCCCGGGCCTGGATCTTCTGGGGCTGGTGGAGGGATGCTTATCCTGTAGCCCCAGAGGTCCTGTGGCAGGGAGATGCCCTTTCCCCCTCAGCCTTGGTGCTGCTGTGGAGAGTACTAGGGGGAGTCCCCTCTCAACGCCACAGCTCCTGAGCACCCTTCTGCACCCCAAACCCCCCAGAGCCCGCACCCCCAGCCAGAGTCCTCTTCCCCTGCCCCAGCCCTGAGCCCCTCATCCCTGGCCCCACCCCAGAGCCCAAACCCCCAGCCGGAGCCCTCTTCCCCTGCCCCAGCCCTGAGCTCCTCATCCCCGGCCCCACCCCAGAGCCCGCATCCCCAGCCGCAGCCCTCTTCCCCTGCCCCAGCCCTGAGCCCCTCATCCCCGGCCCCACCCCAGAGCGACCTGAACGTGCTGGTATTTCCATCGAGTTCTGCGTACCAGCAGCCCAGTCCCAGGCCAGAACTGAGTCGTCTTCATACATCATCCCCCCCACGCCCCCCCACAGAGAGCAGGTGCCGAGGACACAGGGATTCAACCACACACTGAGCAGGTCTCGTTCTCTCCCGCAGGGGACAACAAAACACACACACAAATACACAGCAGATCCCATAGCCTCCAGCAGGGGGAACTATCACGGAGTCCCCGGGTGATGCTCTGGATCGGCTCCCCACGAAGCCAGGCAGGACTCTGGGGGAGCCTCCTCTCTGTGAGCAGCCCGTCTGCAGGACACACAGCTCCCACTGCTTCCACCTTCCTGGGTCTGACCTCAGAGCATCCAGCATCCTCTGCCCCTCTGTGCACTTCCCGCAGCGAGTCCGCCCAGGCAGGGTCCTGGGGAAGCCAGAGGGTCCTGCCCCCCAACTCCGCAGTCAGACGTGACTCTCAGCCAGCCAGTAAAACAGAGGTTTATTAGATGACAGGAACATGGTCTAACACAGAGCTTGTAGGTGCAGAGAACAGGACCCCTCAGCCGGGTCCATTTTGGGGGGCAGTGAGCCAGACAACCAAGTCTGCCCTTCACTCCATGTCCGCAGCCAGCCCCAAACTGACTTACCCTCCGGCCCCCCCTTCCTCTGGGCTTTGTCCCTTTCCCGGGCCAGGAGGTCACTTGATTCCTTTGTTCTCCAACCTTTAGCTCTCACCTTGTGAGGGGGGGGGGAAGGGCCAGGCCATTAGTTGCCAGGAAACAGGGTGTCGGCCATTCTCTGTGTCCAGACCCCTGCACACACCTGCCCTCTAGGGCTCTGCAATGATCATACACCCTTATCCCACCCCCTAGATACTTAAGAACTGCATAGGGGAAACTGAGGCACCCCCACACTATTCAGAGGAAATATTCAGAGCAGTCCCGCTTCGTCACAGGAACAGCCTCACATGCCGTCCGGGATCCGCTGGATCAGTGCTGTGCCCCCAGCTTTGGAGCAGCTCCTTGCAGAACCCCCTTAGATGGGCTGGACCCCCAGGCCTCACCGCCTCTTGGACTGACCCTCAAGGGCTGCAGCCCTCCCGCCTCACCCCGTGAGCTCCATGGAGTGAGGCCAGCGGAGCCGGAGCCCAGGGAGAGCCATGGCTGTTCGGCAGGGACCAGGATTTGCAGCAACACTCAAGCAGCGCACACGAAACAGCCGGGCCTGTTCGTCCCTTGGGCACAGGGTAATATTATTATGACCCTGCACTTATGGCACTTTGCACGTTGGCAGAGAGAAATGAAAGCGAAAGCAGCGTCGGTTCGGGTCAGCCCGGGGCCCACCCCAGCTGGAGCAGCGTCCTGTGTTCTGGCTGTGTCTGTCTGACCTCCATAGTCTGTTCCCAGGAGAGAGAGAGAGATCCCAGCAGCCACCTCTTCCCCCCAGCTCCCACTTCCCCAGTCCTTCCTTCTCCAGGGGGGGTCTTTGCTCTGCTTCCCGGCTGAGATGGCCGGGGAGATCCAGGCGGCTCTGGCCCTGGCATCAGGTCACTGAGGGCCTTGTTCACGTGGGTCGGTTCTAGCCAGTTCCTTAACAACTCTTTGTTCCCCCGAGACAGGGAGGTGTCACCCACACCTGTGTCTTTTAGCCTTTCCTGAAAACACAGAGTCCTTTCCCCCTGCTGGGCAACCACGCAGCAAATGGGGAAACTGAGGCACACAGCAGGGTCATAATAATATTACCCCCAAAATCCCCCCTTCCTCACATACACACAGTTATATAGCACCAACAACTGTCTTCATAGTGTGAATCAGACTTAGCCCCAGTGACTTAACCGGGGCTGATGCTGCTATACATCAGGGCATGTGAGACTGGCTTTGTCTACAGAAGTCAGTTTCTAACCTTGATCTCACTGGCGTAAGTTTGGCAAAGGAGAAGAATTCATAATAACGACAGTTTGGAGCATGTGATGGGGATCCAGAGACCTTCATTGCAATCCTGGAGCTGCCCCAGCTTCCTTTGCGCCCTCAACCCAATCCCTTTGGCAAAAGTTTTCAAACTCAGGTGCCCCAAGGTAGCCAGGAAAAGCCCTGTTAATTGGAGTGGACAGATATCTCAGGCCTGCCCAGCAAGCCTGAAAAAAACAGGCTAAAACCAGACATTAAGGTGAATGTTTCCAAACTGCCTAAGGGATTTGGATGCCCAGGTCCTATTCCTCTCTACGGGAGTTAGGCAGCTAACTTCCTTAGACACTGGTGAAAATTCCACAAGGCCCTTGAATACCTTTAAAAACCTGTCCCTGTACAATGGGATTAGGCGCTTCAGAAAGTGTGACCCAGCCCTGCTCTGTGCCTCAGTTTCCCCACATGGGGCTGAGGTCTATGGATGGGCTGGATGAGAGCTATGACCGGCATTCAGAAAGCAGCTTTTTAGGAGCTCAGGCTACATTTTATGGGAATTGTGTGTCCAAATCCCCTAGTCAGGACTTGGAAAATCTCAACCTTAAACTCTGTGGGACAGATCCTCAGGTGGTGTCCGTCAGCTGTCAGGCCATTGGGGTCACTGGGCCAGATCCCCAGTTGGCGTGACTCGGTTGTAGCTCCATTGGAGTCACCTCATCCCTGCGTGTGCTCACCTACAGTGATCAGAAGCATTTACCTTCCTAGACAGTGGGTGCAAAACCTGTCCCCGCTGAGATCCAAGGCCGAACTCCCGTGAGCCCCATCTCACCAGGATTGGCACCTGTATGCATTAGCTGCTGGTGAATTAACAATACAAAGGCAAATCTGTGCGGGAGCCTAGCACCCTGCGAATTGATCCGATCAGCCCTTCGTGTGTAACCGTATGGACTGACAAATGGGAGGGAAGCCTCTGGAAGTGAACCGGTAACCAGCGAGGATAGAGAACAAGGCTGATGTCGGTGAAATTCTGGTTGCTTCATGTGGTCAGCAGAGGGCAGCAACGGCTAAGGAATGAGGCAGAAGCCGCATTATAGGTGCTGGCCGGGAGGAGACGACTCACCGGTCTCTTCTGGCCTTGGTCTATGTGACCATTGTCACGGAGTGTGGGGGAGTCCGGGGCCTGCACCCCTCTTCCTGGGATTTACCGGGACTCTCAGCCAGCCAGTAAAACAGAAGGTTTATTGGACAATAGAAACATAGTCTAAAACAGAGCTTGTGGGTACAAGCAGGACCCCTCAGTCAAGCCTTTCTGGGGGGCAGGGCGCTTAGACCCCAGCCCTGGGGTTCCCTGCGTTCCACCACCCAGCACCAAACTGAAACCAGCCCCCATCCCCGCCAGCAGGCTCCCTCCTGCAGCCTTTGTCCAATTCCCCCGGCAGAGGTGTGACCTCCCCCTCCCTGTCCTGGCTCAGGTGACAGGCTCTCAGGTCTCCCATCCCCAGTGAAACTCCCCTGCCACATTCCCAGGTCAACGCTCCCCCCTCCCTGCTGCGTCACAACCATCTCCTCGGCCCTCCTGTGTCACACAAGCCCAGCACTAATCTCACCCTGGGCTGTGTTAAGAGGAGGGTTGTATGCAGACACGGGAGGGAATTGTCCCGCTCCACTCGGCGCTGGTGAGGCCCCAGCTGCAGTCCTGGGCACCACATTTGAGGCAAGACATGGATAAATTGGAGAGTCTAGAGGAGAGCAGCAAAAGTGAGCAAAGTTTTAGAAAACCTGACCTAGGAGGAAAGGTTAAGAAAACCAGGGCCTGTTTCGTCTTGAGAACAGAAGTCTGAGGGGCGACCGGATAACAGCCTGCAAATGCCTTGGGGGGGGGGTTCTAAAGAGGACGGGAATCGATTGTTCCCCATGTCCCCTGAAGGCAGGACAAGCCGTAATGAGCTGAATCTGCAGCAAGGCAGAATGAGGTGAGAACTCTCAGGGGAGTGAAGCTCTGGAACAGGCTCCCCAGGGAGGCTGTGGAATCCCTGTCACTGGAGGGCTTTAAGAACAGGCTGGACAAATGCCTCTCGGGGCTGGTCTAGGTTCCCCCTGCCTGACTCACGGATGAATGATCTATTGCAAGAGGAGACGTGAACATTTGACAAGTGACGTTTCTTGTTCAGAACCATTTCTGGGTCCGTAATTGACTCAGCACAACCAGCATTCCGGGCCCGGGCCCTAGGCTGCTGCGAAGGGGGGTGGGGCAGAGCCCGAGTCCAGCTGAGACACGGGTCCGAGTCCTGTTGTTTCCGGAGTCTGCGCAGTGCAGGGTGGATGAATTAGCACAGCCAGGAGAGCCAGGTCCAGCAAGCATAAACCCAGGCTTCCCATGCAGTGTGGACGCTCAGGCACTTGGAAGCCCCTCATCTCCAAGCCGGGGTTTCCGCTGCCATCCAGACACGTTGCCACAGACAGGGCTCCAGAGAAGTTCCGTGCCCTCGGGGAGGGGGTCGTACAGACTGGGCCAGGCTGACTTTCCCAGAACCGAGGAACCAAAGAAAGGCCTTTGGCTCTGAAAGGACGAGCGGGAACTGGCTCGGACCCATCACACGGCCAGGACTTTCTGTCACGGGGCCTGCGCCTTGGCGGAAGGGTGGGAAAGACTCTGGCCCACTAGGGCCCTATAAGACTGAGGGGGACTCCTGCTTTGCTCAGTGTGTTTACATCTGTTTAATGTCTGTGACGCTTTTACCACAGGAGAAGCCAGGAGTCCTGAGTCCAGGGCCACCCTGCTCAAGCCACTAGGCCATCTCTGCCTCCAGGAACCAGAGCAGAACCCGGGAACACCGTGGGCCAGGCCCCTGCTCTAGTCCCTACCACCCAAAGCCACCCCAGGGCCAAGCAGAGCAGCTAGGAACCGGGGACCGGATGGGCACAGAGGGGGCGTTACATGCTGGAGTGTTCAGACATTACTAGCTGTGGTGCACTACGGGAGGCCACGTACATGAGTACAGACAGTCGTACGAGTTGCTTGAGTTATTCTGCGTGTGGATTTTTTCTCTCTCTATCTGAAGAACGTAGACAGGGCCTGCCTTGAAGGCCACTGAAGTTGGCTGGAAATGGGGATTTCCAAAGGAGCCTACGGGGACTAGGCAACCAGCTTCCGCCGACGGAGTTTATCTGAAGACCACTGAAAAGACTCGGGCTGAAATTCTGCACCCGCTGGAGTGGAAGACAAAAGGCCCTTTGATTTCAATGGGGACAGGATGTCATCACTGGCATTTAAGTCCCACTGTTCATAGCGGGCGGTCAGAATTAGGATCTCTGAGTTCCATCTGCCCTTTGGGGGGAATCTCAGCCAAAGGGCTGCGTTCCTTCCCAGTGCTGGCTCAACGCAGTCGATCAGTTACCCGGTTTCCTGATCCTTCCCCAGAGCCTCCGTGCAGTGCGGGGCATGGGGCGGCGACAGGACCCGGGGGCTGTGCATTACGTTGGCTGAGTTGCCTTCTCAGACATGGAAAGGCTAAACTAGGGACATGACCAACCACAGAGTCACGTGGTGAGAGCAGTTCGACGGGGGTCGAGGCTGGTTAACACGAAGAGGGAAAACTGTTTGCTTCTTCGCTATTTTCCTGCAGTTCCTCGATAAACATATCGCTTCCTCCCCAGGGAATTAAAGAGCTGAGGTCTTCCAGCGTTTGCTTGAGCCCCAGTACGTCCTGAGAAGGGCCCGATGCTGCCCAAGGTGGACCGTCAAGATGGATGGCCAGGTTTTAAGCAGTTCTTCCTTTGGTAGAGAATTCAGCAGCTGGTGAATGGGGACGGATTGACAACACACAGCACGTGGCAAGCGTCCTCTATCTGCTGCCCACTTCCACCTGTCAGCCTTCCCCACTGAATCGCATCTGCCAACCGAACACAGTTCAGCTGGAACATGTCTGACCAGCTCTAATTTGGACAGAGAGCAAATCAATTATGCGTGCAAATCCCTGGGCTACGGTTCACGTTCCCGACTGTCTATCGAAGAGAAATCTGCCATTATGACCAAAGGAGGTTGTTTTTGGACATGCAAAGATCCTGTCAGTCTGTCTGTCACATAGCTGAAGTCTGTGTAGATGGGACTAGGTTTACACTCGATGGCTTGTGCAGGGTGAGGTCAGTGCAGCCACCTATGGGGTGGGGTGCAGGGGCTGTTAATAGAGGGACCCCTCAGTCATTTGGAAAAAGCGAAGAAATTTGTGACATTGACACTGGCGATCCAGAGGACTCCCCCACAATGCTGAGAGGAGGTGGCAGCTGTGAGCAGCATGGGGCTTACTGAACACTGGGTCAGCGTGTGGTGGAGCTGGGGGGCAGCCATGGCTCCTCTTCAGCCAGCAGGAGCCGGATGCATCCAAATTGGTGGCAGTGGGATCCCAGCTGGGGGTTAGCTCCGGGTTGGGCACAGGCCGGCCAGGTGGGTCTGCACCCAGTGCTCCCTGCTGGCCCCTGGGGCTTCCCAGTTTGTGGCCCAGGGTAGCTTGGGGGGTGGGAATGGGGATCCCAGTTTGGGGGGGCTTAGAGCCTGAAGACAACAGGGCCAATGCTGCACCCCAGCAGGGCATTGGCGGCTTCCAGGCACTCGCTCAGCCAGGGTCCTGAAACAAGTGGGGGGGGGGTCAGGGGGGAGACATCAGCCAGGGAAACGGGACGGGGGGGGGGACACCAGCCGAGGAATGGGGTAGTGAGGGTTGGGGGGGAGACACCAGCCCAGGAAACGGGGGGGGGGGTGTTTCAGGGGGGAGACACAAGCTAAAGGAACAGGGCCGGGCCTGGGGGCAAAGGGCAGAGAGCACACAGAGCGTGGGGGACTGGCATGGGGGACAGGGGAGTAAAGGTGCTGGGGGCTGGGCATGGAGACCCCGGACGGGGATTGACACAGGGAGATGCTGGGGATAGGGGCTCTCGAGGGCTGGGCTATGGGGCCCTGGGGAGCAGGTTTGGGGCTCTGGGCTGTGGGGTTTCCATACCCCTGACCCCCTAGCCCCATCACACCTGCTCGCCCCTGCACCCAGCCCACAGCCTTTGCCTCCAGCAGCTCCCACTCGTCGCGCTGCCCTGTGGCCCAGCCGTGCAGCCAGACCACGGCCAGCACCGTGGCCCAGATGCCAGGGGGCATGTCCGGGGGTTGGGGGGGGAGAGAAACAGCCTGAGACAGTGCCTGGCCTGAGGACCCCTCCTGCCCCCCCGAATGCTGCCCCTTCCCCCTGCCCTGTGGACCCCCCTGCACCCCTGAGTGCTGCCCCCCATCCCTCCACCCTGGGGACCCCCCCAGCGTTGTCCCCATCCCCCTGCCCTGCGAACCTCCCAATCGAGCGCTCTCTCCTCAGACTCAGAGGGTTCCCAGCTCTAGCACCGTGGACCCCCTACCCAGATGCCCAGTGCCATGCCCAGGGGATAGGAAGACAGCCTCAGGGAGGGCCTGGCCTGGGCCTCCCCATGTCCACCATGCCCAGCTCTGGGGCCTCTTGATCCAATGCTCCAACCCCCTGTTTGGGGGTTCCCAGCCCCCTGCTCTGGGCCCATCTCACCCACTGGGCTCCAGGTTCAAGGGTCATTTGATCCAGTTGCCCTCAGACCCACCCCCCCCCCCAGCCTGGGTCACCCCCAGTCTCATCTGGGAGCAGAGAACAGGCTCAACTCATGGCACCTGAGCCCCATCTCTCTCCTCCTCTCCTCTGTCCCTGTCCCCTCCCACACTCACCTGACTGGGCATCCTCCCCCGGTGTCGGTCTAACTCACCCCCAGCACGGTGGCCAGCCAGGGGTCCAGGTCCCATGAGCCGTCGACATTCTGCAGAGACACCAGCCTCAGCAGGGAAGACTCCTCTGGTGCCCGCTCTAGGGAGAGATGTGGGAAGATGGGGCTGGGACATGGTTACAGAAGAGTGACATGGCCTGTCCAGGCTGAGGGACAGCCTAAAACCTTAACTGTGAGCCTCCGTGCATCCTTACCTCTGCCTCATCCATGGGCGGTCCTTTACGTGCTTCTCAGCGCCCTTAACTCTGCCCCTTCCTGCACCCATGGGATGACAATTAATTTGCAGTTGGAATTGGGAAACAAACTCCCTTGGGCCCCTGTGAATGTCCCAGCCCCCGCTATTAATCCCACTACCCCAGGGTATTTCTCAAACACAATCTGACCCCAGGACCATCCCACACTACAACCTGTGAAACAACCTATGTCCGGGGAAACACACAAGCATCTAAGGGTGTAGGGGAGACGGGATGTTACAGAGTTTATACGATATTATAGCCATACCTGGGCCAGGGTTGTGGGGCAGAGTTAAGCTTACCTGGGCTACAGCAACTTTGTATTTCCAGACTCTTCCAATTCAGGTTTTAAGGGTAGCCTTAACTTTAAAATTTCTGCCTTTCGTGGGCTTCTTCATTTAGAAACCAGACTGTACCGACCACGATCTGTGCCCCTGAACTCACCTGTACAAACATCCAAGCCTGGGCCCAGCTTCACAAAGTATTTTTGTCTGGGAGTTTAGCTGTGTGTCCATTTCAGAGAAAACTGCTCAGCGACATTTCTGTTACTAAAAAATGACTGATTTCCCCCCTACACGCTGCCCAGTTTCCCTCCCCCTCTTCCCGACCCCCCCTGCTCAGCGATATAAACTCACAACCCAAATTCCAGTTTCACAGAGTTTTTTGCCTGGAAGTTTCCTTATTTTTTATTTATTTTGTTGCAAGATAATTTGCTTCACAACACTTAAAAAACCCAGCTGTGGATTCCACCTCCCCCAGCGTCTGTTTTGCCCAGGAAGTTCCTTCACTTTCTGTGTAGCTGTTAAACACTTGCCCAGCTCCGGGACCATCAGGGCACGTCTGTCTCAGACCCAAGGAAGCGTCATCCTGGTTTTTGCCACCCGCCCCAAGTCCTGACTCCCAACCCCGTCTCCCAAATCACCTTCCTGGGGTGCGGTCTCCGGGGGGGCACTGTGTTTGCAGGACTTCCTGCCCTTGCATCGGGGGCCCCCCCTGGATGAGCTCTGGGAGGCAGCAGAACCAGGACAGGCACTTCTGAGGGAGGCGAGGGCTGGTGCTGGACTTCAGGAGCTTCTCGCTGTCACGGAGTCCCCGGGCGATGCTCTGGATCGGCTCCCCACGAAGCCAGGCAGGACTCTGGGGGAGCCTCCTCTCTGCGAGCAGCCCATCTGCAGGACACACAGCTCCCACAGCTTCCACCTTCCTGGGTCTGACCTCGGAGCATCCAGCATCCTCTGCCCCTCCGTTCACTTCCCCAAGCGAGTCCACCCAGGCAGGGTCCTGGGGAAGCCAGAGGGTCCTGCCCCCCAACACCACAGACAGACGTGACTCTTAGCCAGCCAGTAAAACAGAGGTTTGTTAGATGACAGGAACATGGTCTAAAACAGAGCTTGTAGGTGCAGAGAACAGGACCCCTCAGCCGGGTCCATTTTGGGGGGCAGTGAGCCAGACAACCAAGTCTGCCCTTCACTCCATGTCCCCAGCCAGCCCCAAACTGACTCACCCTCCGGCCCCCCCTTCCTCTGGGCTTTGTCCCTTTCCCGGGCCAGGAGGTCACTTGATTCCTTTGTTCTCCAACCCTTTAGCTCTCACCTTGTGGGGGGGGGGGGAAGGTCCCAGGCCATCAATTGCCAGGAGACAGAGTGTCGGCCATTTGTGTACACTGGCCCTTTGCTCTGCAACAATACACCCCCTTATTCCACCACCTAGAGACTTAAGAAATGCATAGGGGAAACTGAGGCACCCCTACAGTATTCAGACGAAACATTAAGAACAGTCCCACTTCTTCACACTCGCGCAAGGTGAAGGAGATGCAGCGTTGGTTGCCTTTGGCCAGGCGAACAACTCCGGTAAAGGCGCACGGCGCAATGTACAGCAAATGGCCTGCCATCAAATCGAACTCTAGGGACCAGACAGTCAGAGAGATGGACAGACAGGTGGACATGCAGACAGACAGAGACAAGCTAAGGGATGGAAGCAAAATCCTCCCCCCGCTCCCCCAGGCACCTAGAGCCAACACGCCACTGGGACCCCTCCTCCCTGCCCCCAGCTGGGACCCCACCCACACCCAGCCCCATCCTCCTCTCCCCTTAGCTCCCTCAGAGTCAGAATCCCCCCCAGCCCTTTCCCCCCGGGCTGGGACCCCCTGGATACAGCTGCTCCCTGCAGCTTCCCCCTAGTTGGGACCCCTCTTCCAGCCCCAGGGGATGTGGGGGGTGGGTGCTGCGCCCCATGGATGAGGGCAGGACACTGGGGGATGAGAGGCCCCTGCTAGCCAGGCTTGCTCATGCCAGCAATATGCCTGCCCCCCGGTCCCTGCTTCTGTCTAGGTCAGTCTGCCTGTCTCATGGGGTCTGTTTGTCTGTCTCCGTCTTCCCATCTGGGTCCATCTGTCTGATTCTCAGTCTCTGCCCCTGTCTGTTTGGGTCTCTGATTCTGGGTCTGTCCGTACATCCGCCTGTCCACCCCACAGGCCCCGCTCTCCCAGCTGGCAGGAGCCAGGCCCCGCAGGCTGCCCCCCATCTCACCGGGCCAGCGCCCGCTGCTCTCCTCCTGCCCTGGGGCTGGGAGCACTGGGTTCACCCTCGGGGGCAGGGAGGGTCCAGCAGAGCCACACAGTAGCTGGGGCAAGGAGGGGGGAAAGGGACATTAGCCCATATCCATGATGCCTCCCCATGCATCCAGCTCCCCCCCCCCCCAACACGGGGATCACCCTTGCTGGGATCCCTCCCGCAATTCCCCTGCCAGTGCCAGGTTCCACACACACACACACCCCAGCCCCAGGTTCCCCTCCCACCCGAGCCCCCTCCCCCCCACCCCGATGCCAGGATCCCCGACCCCTCTGGGGTTACCTCGCCAGCGGGCCCTGCACCGGCTGCCCCGGCTCCGTGTCCACCCCCATGTAGGCCGTGAGGGAGCAGACGACCCCCGAGCTCAGGCCGGTCTCCAGCGCCTGGCGCCAGTCCCCCTCCGACCCGGCCCCCACGGCCCCCTCCAGCTCCAGCAGCAGCGACTTGGATGCCAGCCGGTGAACGGGCAGCCTGTACTGGGGACAGACAGTCATGGGGTGAGCCCCAGACACCTGGGTTTCAGCCACACAGGGAGGGGAGCAGGGGTTAGTGGGATAGTGTATTGGAGTGGGGGGAGGGAGCCAGGACTCCTGGGTTCTATCCTGGCTCTGGAGGGGAGTGGGATCTATTGGTTACAGCAGGGGGACTGGGAACCAGGACTCCTGCTTCCCTCTGTGAGCTGAGGTAGGTCCCCTCCTGTTCCTGTCCTGTTGGGGGTGGGGATGTGGGGAGCAGGAACCAGCTACCTGGGGGTGATGGGGGCCATGGGAGTGTTGCTGTCACCTGTCTCCATCTTGTGGCTGTAGGGGGAACCGCAGCGTCTCCCTTGTAGGTCTGGTCCTGGACGCGGTACTGCAGGGTAATGCACCCCACAGCAGTGTCTGGGGGCTGCAGGCAGAGAAAGGGAGTCAGAGGTGGAGTGCAAGGTGGGAGAAGATGCCTGGGGACCCCCCAGACCCAGGTTACAAAACCAAGGGGGTAAATATGCCCAACTAACAGCAGCTGGGGGGCTGCCTA